ACTCTGCAGTTTCTAGTTGTAGGTGAAACTCTTGGGAAGATTTTTTGATTGAAGGAGCCTCATTCATTAGGAAAATTTTAAATGTATTATGTGTGAGGGTGGAATGGTTTCCCTTCCATTTCAGTTAAGTGGGAGTTTGTTTCTGGACAGTTTAACGCTCTTTCTAATTACTGACCAGAGTGTACTTGTGTCTTCAATTCATCAGGGTTGAGAAGTACTGGGCTAATATTAGGAATGTGAAATGCTCTAGGAGCCAAGTTACATAAGTAATTAGAAAAACCTACAGTTTTGTTTTATGCTTATTTAAATACACGAAAGAGGAAGAGAACTCGCAAAATATTCTTGGAACACAAATGAGGCTATAAATCTCTCAACCCTAGAAAGACAAACGTGTGTTGGCTTAACAACTGACTGCATACAGATCACTGGAATAAAGAAAGAGATGGCGAGTTGCCTAAAGGTGTGGCTAACCAAAAAATCTGTGGAGATGGGTGATCTGAGAACTGACCATCTTTAAAGAATTCTTTGCCCAGGGGTGAAACGAGAAGTGGGAATTTTGTTCTTGGGTGGGGAAGTTGGAAGACTCCTCCTTCTATTCCAGTAAGCAGGAGCTGTTAGATGCAGAAGAGCCACAGTGGAGATGGGTGCTCAATTAAAGTGATAAATATTAGCACTGCAAGAGGAAAATAGAACTGATTTTTAATATTTATTCAAAATGTTCAGAATTTGTATTTCTTAATAAAATGTGATAGAAATATTAGAAATGGAAAAATCATAGTGTAACGTCAGAAAACATAAACTGGGTCACATTAATATAATTCCAACATAACTCAGTTCATAGCTTGGGATTTTTTGGTGATTTTGAGGTAATACTGCAGTTTCTACTATGTGCCACACACTTTGTATTCATTGTACCATTTTTTTAAAATACATTTTTATTGATTTCAGAGAGGAAAGGAGAGGGAAAAATAGAAACATCAGTGATGAGAGAGAATCATTGACTGGCTGCCTCCTGCACGTCCCCTACTGGGGATGGAGCCTGCAACCCAGGCATGTGCCCTTGACCGGAATCAAACCTGGGACTCTTCAGTCCGCAGGCCAACGCTCTACCCACTGAACCAAACCAGGTAGGGCTTCATTGTATCATTTAATCCTTACAACCACCCTCCCAGGTAGGCCTTTTATAGATGTGGCATCTGAGGCTGAGAGGTTAACTGACTCATTCACAGTCACACAGCTGGTGAAGTGGCAGTCGACTCATACTTAGTCTCTTAGCAAAACTAAGGTTCTTTCCACTATGCAATTCTGCTCCTCTGTCCTGTGGAAGTTTTGTTAAAATAGTCTATTGTTTCTGGGCGTCTAGGTTAATACACTTTTGAAATGCCTTTTTTGGACCCTTCAAAAGGGAAACCACCCTGAAGAGAACAAGCACATAATCTTGTTAACTCTCCTGTAATTAAATCCCTTCCTGGCTGTCTCCCCCTTCCCCGTAACCTTCCTTATGCTCCCTCCCTAATTCCAAATGCATAAAAGGAGCCGCCAACTATCATTTTGGGAAGCATTTTTCCTCACGCATTTTTTCTTGCTTCCAGGCATATTCTCTATTTGACTCAAATAATTTATACAACTTTTCTACAAAATAAATAGTATATTTTAAATTTTAGAAATGCCAGGTACCTCTGTTCTATAGCTACCATGGAACAGTGTCCTAGAGATACAGATATGGGGTGCTCATTTATAAAAACAATCAGAATATGCTTGTGCTGAAATAGCAGTGGAATTTGCTGAAAATTGCTAAGGAATTGAAATTTTGCACATTTTTTTTTTGTCTTATTGGGTAAAAAAAAAAAAATCTGGAATGTTTTCTTCCAAGAGTGGCAAGAAACTTCTTGAAAAGGGTCAGGCAGTTCTTGAATTGCCCTGAATATGTCAACTCACCCACAGGCTTGTTATAAATACATGTGCCTGGTCCCCATCCCAAATCTCTTATTAGAAGGTCACTGGGTGGGGCCCAGCCATTTATTTCTGTGTATGGAGCTGCATACCACTGGCCTAGGGGAGGGAAGAGCAAACCTGGGTCATCATTAGAATCAGCTGGGAAAGTTTAAACTCTCACCCCTAGGCTTCTCCCTAAACCTAACTCATCAGAGACTCTTGGGATGGGTCCTGGGAACATCTACATTTGAAGTTACCCCAGGAATTTTGATCACAGGCCAAGCTGTGGGATCCCCTTGTTTGGAGGTTGGCAGAAATAAACTCTGTGTTTGTAGGCCCCCATGGGATAGGCATCATCCAGGGAGAAATGGGATTTTCAGTTTGCACTTTGATTTATGACCTGATTCTTTCAAAACTCTAGCAAGACTACAAAGAATGTGAGCTCATCAGAGAACTCATCCAATTTAAATATGAATTAAATAAGTATAATGCTTGACAAATCCTTCCTGACTACTTTTTTACTATTATTTATATTTAAGGGGAGGCTTTTATCCACCCCATATTCTTTCTCTAGATAGCAACTTTTATTTGCTGAATTACCTGTCATATAAAAGGGAAGCTGATGACATGTCATACAATTATTTCCTATACACATCACTGTTACCAGTGGACATTTTTCTCTTAAATTCATTTCATTTAGGAAAAAATGTAAAAGGTCAGTTCATTTAAAAATCTATTCATATTTAATAGGAAGTGGGGGTGTTCTGAGTTTTTGACAGGTCACTGCACAGCCTAGAGTACATTCTGAGCATGCAAACACCCAACTGCCCTACACGCCTCATCTTTCCTTAGTCATTTTACTGTTTAACACTAAAAATATTTCCTTCCTCACTGCTCCCCACACTTCTCAGCCTTTACACAAGCTCTATGCCGGTGGAAAGGAATGCCTGTCTATCCCATCACTTCTCCCCATCAGACTTAAAACCACAGCTCAAACGGCATGTGCGCCTGAGCCCTTCCCTTAACACTAACCAGTAACTCACTCCTCTCTGCTTCCAGAATTTTGTTCTTTTTATATATTTTATTGAAATGATGTTCCCTTGCCTATGTTAAGTCATAACATCCTGGTGGGTAGGCAGTGTTTCACATTCAGGTCTGGACCACTGAGAAGCTGCATGTGGTGAGTGACACAGACAAATAAACAGATCATTGCAATATAAAACATAGTGCCCAACCCACAGTAGGTACTCAGTATTTGTTGAATGGATGAATGCTGGGTTTTAGAAATGAAGAAGCCAAATAAAAACATTCAGCACAACAGCATTTCAGAGAACATCTCTGAATAGTCCAGAAACATTTGTGTTCCCAAGTGAAAAGTAGTAGTGTGGTGGACAAGTGTAGTAAGCTTTGGAGCTAGACTGAGTTCAAATCTTAACTCTGCCACTAGCAGTGTGACACAGGGTAAGTTATTTGTATCATCTGCCAATTACCAAACTATAAAACATGGGTAAGAGAAGGGCCCTCCTCGAAGGGATGCTGGTAAGGCAAACTGAGTCAGTACATATAAAATACGTAGACAGGGACTGGCACAAAGTTAAGTGATAAACCAATATTCACCAGGGTTATTTCTACAATGTACAAGATACAAGGCTGGTTTTTCTCTCAAGAAGCCAACAATTGCCCTAGCTGGTCTGGCTCAGTAAATAGAGCATCCGCCTGAGAATTGAAGGGTCCCGGGTTCGATTCCGGTCAAGGGCACATACCTTGGTTGCAGGCTCCCGGCCCCGATCGGGGGCATGCAGGAGGCAACCAATTGATCTGTCTCTCTCACATCAGTGTTTCTCTCTGTCTCTCCATCTCCCTTCCATTCTCTCTAAAACTCAATTGAAAAAATATCCTCGGGTCGAGGATTAAGAAACAAACAAAACAAACAAAAAAGAACAAAAAGAAACCAAAAATCAAATGGGGAGAAATGACAGGAACCTGTGAAAGATGTAACATAAAGCAGAAAATTAGGTATTAAATGTCAAACAATTAAGTACTGATGAAATAAATACACAATATCCTGGGACAAGTATCCTATATAATAAAAAACCTAATATGCAAATTGTCCCCTCGGGTGGTCGTTTGACCGGGAGACCAGGAGTTTGACCGATTGTTGTGACATGCGCTGACCACCAGGGGGCGGTGCAGAACATGGCGGGTGTCAGTGATGCACTGCAACCTCTCTCGGGCTACCGGGCGGGGGGGGGGGGGGGGACACAGGAATGGAGGTTCAGTGAGAATGTGGGGTGTCTGCCAAGCTCACTCTCACTCCTCCTGCTACCCTCTCCCGGGACACCAGGGCTCACGCACCCACGCTCAGGTGCACACCCACGCAGCCTCTTCTGCGTGAGCCGGGCCACAGCCACTGGGACTACAGGGGCCGGTTGGGCTCCCTGTGGGTTCATGCAGGAACTGGTCTGCAAGGCCAGCCGGGAGAGAGCGCACTGCCTATCCAGCTTCCATGAAGCACTGCTGGGTGGCCCAGAGGCCCACGGTGCACCCTGGCCCACAGTGTCCGGCTGCACTCAACACATCTCCGTGTGGGGACTCAGGCGCCATGACTCAGGCGGAGGGGGCGCGCGGAGGCCCAGGGGCCCAGGTGCTGCCCAGGGCCCAGGTGCTGCCCAGGGCCCAGAGGTCAGCTGGGACCTGCACTTCCACACCAGATGCTCGCGCTTCTATCACCGGCCAGGCCTAGGGACCGCACCCATGCATGAATTTCATGCACCGGGCCTCTAGTTTTCATTCATCTATATATTTAGGTTCAGGTGTTTGTTCAAAATTGAAACCAAAACAGCAGGTGAGGGCAGGGAAGGGGGTAATCTCCACCCTTCTCTTCTCTTGTATAAGATTACAGGTATTGTCTGTGATCTGTGGCCAAAAAATAGGGAGACATTTATAGCCTTATCCATTTGAGTTCGAGCATATAGTAAACATACTAAACTCATACTTAACACTTTGTCTTTCCATATAAATGTATTTGAGAACCATCAATTTGCAAAGGAGCACATCAAACTTAATTAATGTTACTCAAATTTTTCTTTAATTAAGAAAAAACAAAGGAAGTATTTAACAATTTTGCACAACTATGCTCAATTGACAAAGGTGATTTGTTTAGGAATCTTAAGGGTAGCAGAGATGTATTTTAAAAAAAGACAAATTCATCCTAAAACTAGAAAATGCTTAGAGATAAAAATATTAATTCAGTAAGAAAATATTTCATATTTCTTTTACCAGAGACTAATTAATTAACTCATTTCTATATCAAGTTATGCAGCACACATTCCTTTCTCTAGTTTCTCATGCAAAAAGTTAGAGAGTTTTTCTCAAAAAAGAGCAAGTCAGTGCTAATGGTTTTAAGCCAGGGCTTGGAGTCAGCCTCAAAGAGCAAGCTTGGCCATCTGCACTCACCTGACCCCCAGCCTGATGCTTTCTTTTACACAGTCTCTATTAAATTGATATTCAACGTGGAGGAGAGTAGCTGGAACCTAACAACACCCTGGTAATCTTCTCATACTGCTTTTAGAAAAGAAAAGGACCATTTCATCTCAGCAAATACATAAAAATAATACTTTAACAAAATGTATTCATCCCGACTATGTGCTTCCCTAAAATGCTAAGAAACGTGGGCATAAGTAAAATTAGGATATAAGAAGTGATGAGTACACCCGAAAAGAGATAAGAAAGAAGTATAAGTGAGGATGTTTCCTGTAAGCCTAACCACAGTATCTCACTGGTAATTTCCAAGATAATTATTGTAAAAATACAATAAATACTATAATGGAAATATAGGGATTCATTTATTACTTTCTGGTTTATAAACAAAGGCACCAATAATGCTTCTATTTACTTTGTATAGAAGAGTATCAATTTACATTTAAAACAAAAAGCAAAAAACCCTGAACCAGCTCCTACACACAAACACAAAAAAAGGGGAGAAATAAAGATTTTTTCCTCCCTGCTTCCATGCTTTATTACACAGATTCAAAGAATGTTTATTTTATACCATCCTTAAGTCAAAGAACATATTGCCATGCTTCTCTGTGTTGAGTTTTAGGACATATTAATGTTGCCAAGTCAAATCTAAATATAGTCACAAATGACAAATGCATATGACACAATTATAGACTCAAGAATGAATAGGGAAAGAAAAATAAATGTTTTGCAATACAGCTTTACCGAGTTAAATGAAATATTAAATTTATTTATTAGGCTATCCTGTTAAAAACTAAGTTTGTATAGAAAATATAATCAAACAGAACTAAAAACCATTTCTAGCAAATGACAAATATAAATGATTCCCAAAATTTTTAAGTTCGAGTTAAGCTTGAAGTCTAGTTAGTGGGGATCAACAATCCATGTGCCCTTTATACTAATTTTAGAACTTTAAGTTCCAAAATGACATGTTAATTTATTCATTAGCTTTCTTTTGACAACAAATTCTGTTAAATGAACACACAAAATTAATGCAGTGGCCTCAGCACCCTCCCAGATAGCATTTCTTTAAGTTAGATTATAAGAACAATGACGTAGTTCAAAAGGCATACAGCCCATATGTATTTCACATGCCTGCTGAAATTGTACCTGAATCTTTTTCAAGATACAAAGACAATTCATCTAATTCTCAGTATATTTGGCAAAAGTGTAAAAATCATACAAATGTGAGCATGTTCTCAACACACTAGGGAAACACACTTGAAGAGATGGAGCTCTCAATGTACAGAGCACCTATAGTTGATTATGTGGGCCACTTTAAATCAAAGGCATTGTCTTTTACTCCATCTTTAGACACTGTCATGGTCTCTCACACCTTATACAAGGTATGGTCCTAGACCAGAGACTTCAGGGTCATTCCAAAGAATATATATATACATATGCATATTTACATTCATATTTCTTTTAAAATAATGTTTTAAAGTTTTACTACAGAAAATGTGGCTTCAACATGGAAGCATTTTTCCTTTTCAAGATTACACACCTGCATGGAAGAAGGGGATTTCCTTTACATTTCATTTTTTCACAATAACAAAATAAACTTCTTATACATTGCATATAAACTGACAAAGAAAATTAAGATGTAAAGTTCTATGTAAGTTTTTGTATTATGAACTGACCTCATTAAACATATTCAAGATATACTGTTGATGATTTAAATATAGTACAACTTGATCAGCTAAATTAAAACATGTTATGCTGGTCAATTTGCTCAACAAAATATAAAACAGTAAGGAGAGTTAACTACTATTAAGGTTTAAAGGGAATTATAATATATCATTAAAATATACATTAATTTTCTTGCTATTACTTGTTTCTATAGTGCATTTCTTTCTAAAGCTAAAACCACATGCAGAAAAAATAAATGGTATCTTCAAACTCATTCAACAGTTTGCTACTTTATGTGGTAAGTAAATAAAGTCCTTTATTTAATTTAATACACATTATTTTATGCATTATTTTATTTTTCTTGTGGGAATTCAGTTCTCAAGGTCAAAAGTTAGTATGTGTTTACACACATGTAAGAATATTTTTTTAATGTTATATCTACCTGCAAAAACATTTTTCCATAATAATGCACTTTCAGTTTTCATTGGAAAGACAGCATAAGCCTTTTTAAAGTCTCATTAAAAACATTTATAAAGGGAGGAGAGCACAAGTATGGTGAATCCTCCCCAACCCCGCCAGCTCCCATTTGCCAAAGTCTTAAGAAATCCTCCAGCTTCAAAACATGAACATCTCACAGGATTGATTTCTATTTGGTCATTATGTGGACAAGAAAAATGTATTCTTATTTTTTGATGCTAATAGTCTTATTTAATTCATTTGAATTTCCCTTCAAAAAAAAACACATAGCATATTGATATGGATTTTCAAACCCATTTAGATCCAGTGGGATCTTTAGAATATATAGCCTTCTGATTATGAAAGCAACTGATTGCTTATAGGAAAATGATATGCATCAGACCTCTAATCAGAGAAAGAAAAATGAGAACATGTCTTTCATGTCTGAGACCACTCAATAACTTACAAGATAATGTGAAAATAAGTTGGCTATAATTTTAACAAAATTTCAACTGATGAAAAAATCAAACACTGAAGAATCAAATATCTACCAACTTAGCTAATATTCCTTTCCAAATAAATGCTTTCCATTGCACTAGATATTAAAAATTAGAATTCACTGTATGTTAAGGCATATTTTAATTAATATGTTCCAGAATTGCACAGTTATACTGGTCAGTGTTCCCATATCCCCACTCCTACCCTCACCCCACCCCTTTTCCCAAGGGATCAAAATATTACGTCACGGTTTTGGTGGCTATTGCAGATTTGAGCTAGCATACCACAGTGTGTTCACTAGATTTTTATGAGCATAAACATTAAAATGTTACATAAAATGTACCATAATTTACTCCACACTCCGATCTAAGATGATTTAATATCTTGACAAAAGGTGAGATGACTTAAGTACATTTTACATTTGTGCATTTAGACCACCACATATGCATAGATGTTCTAATGCTAAATTCTTGTCTTCAGTATCTCATAGTGCTGGATGCTCGGAAGTATGACAGAAACTTGTAACACAGACTAACCACAAAGTACCAGATGTTTCTTGCCATTTGTGATCTTGCAATAAAAATGCGCCAGATCAGGATCACAAGGATGGTATTGAAACCGTAACGTATGTTCCTCAACCTGAAAGCAAATCAAGAGACCTATTAGATCATATTTTCTAGAATAAAATATTGCTGGATGGCACACAGTCAATACTCAGTTTTTAACATAAAACTCAAATCCATATTAATTTGAAATTTATTTAAAAACTAATTAAAAGTCCTTAAGTTAGAAAGTTAGCAAAAGTCACCTGACCGTAGTCTATCAAACAATGTATTACCTCTATTAACAACGAGTAACACAAAGCTTTTTTTTATAACAGTATACTTGGGATGCAAAGTTATTCATTCAGCAGGTATTGAGCATCCTTTTGTGTGCCCAGTACTGTGCTAGGCAGCAAGTACACTGGAGGTAAAACAGACATGTCCCTTATGTGTTTGGCACTTTTTCCTTTAAACTAAAAAGGTTTGTACATTACATACATCACCCTACAAACAAAATAAACATTTTTGTGACATCTTTAGCTGCTTACAAGTTGTCAGGAAACTGAATTTACTCCTTCCATTGTAGCTGACAGTCACATGACCAAAGACCAAGAACTCATTCATGAATGAAACATGGTACTAGCTCTAGATAGGACTTGCCATTCTCAAAGTAACAGGTACATTATCTTACTCTTGTTTCAAAACACTTCACATGCTTTTTAATGGTGTTAGAAAGGAATGCAAACCTTTAGGTATGCAGTAATGTTACATACAGTCCACTAACTTCAACAGGCAGGGTAAAATAGGACTACAATGTATGAACAATTGGTGTAGACAAGTGCTTTGAATTACATGTCAAAAGGTCATGGTTTGTTTTGCCACTTAATACAACATGACCTAGGCAAACTCAATTTCCCTAAACCTCAGGTCCTTATCTATACAACTAACTGCCCTACAAAGCCTCATAGAGTTGGAAGCACAAGAATAATAATGTGAAAATCTTGAAAACTGTTATAAAAATTATACTAATTAGGCCCTGGCCAGGTAGCTCAGTTGGTAAGAGTGTCATCCTGTTTTAGCAAGGTTGCAGGTTCTATCCCCGGTCAGGGTACACACAAGAATCAACCAATGAATGCATAAATAAGTGAAATAACAAACTGATGTTTCTCTCTCTCTCTCTCCTCTTCCATTCTCTCTCTAAAATCATTTTTTTTTAAATGTTATTCACGGGAAGAGGAGGAACCAAGATGGCGGCATAGGTACACACCTGTACTTGCTGCCTTGCACAACCACATCAAAACTACAACTAAAAGACAAAACGGATATCATCCAGAACCCCGGGAAGGCTGGCTGAGTGGAAATTCTACAACTAGAAGGAAAGAGAAAAGCGCACTGAAGCTGGTAGGAGGTGCAGAGGTATGGAGGCACGTGAGGAAACTGGCTGGCAACTGGGTATGCTGTTGTCTTTTTCAATCGGGAGGGAGATACAAGCTCCCAATTGCTCTGAACTCCAGTTCCAGGCAAGACTCTGGGGACCCAGACTCATACGGGAAGAAACTGGACTGTCTGGCATTGGGCTGGAATGCAAGGGCGGCTTTCTCACAGAGGAGCTTGCAGTAATCATTGTTCCTGCACTGGGCCACAAGACACAGAGACCCCAGGACCTCTCCGAGGCACAGCAGACTGGCAGCCATTGCAGTTTGCTCCATCCTGATGATTCCCTGAGACCCCACCCCACCCAATTTACAACCCCACCCAAGCTGTGAGCAGAGGCTTTTGCATATGAATGGCCTGTTCATTTGCAATCTAAAACTTAACAAACTGCAGCTGTGTCAAAGAGCATCAAAGCTTCCAAAAGAAGGCTTAGACAGCAGCCTGCATTGCTTCACAGCTGGGCCTCATCTAGGCACTTCCAAACCCCAAACAAAGAGAAGGAATCTGAAGATCTCTCTGTAGCTCCTGCTGGGTGGCCTCAGGCAGTGGTTGACTTTGCATCTCCTTGGAGATCCAAGAGCCAGTGTACCCAGTGGTCAAAGTGAGACCATACCAGAGTACAACTCTTCACATCCATAAGAGACACACTCAAGGGGCAGATTCAGTGAGCACCAAAACCCCATGGAAGCAAGTCCTGCTCCATAAGGGTGTCTCCAGCACAGCAGTTCTCCCATTGTAGACACAGC